TAGAGGGATAGTTTGTGGGTTTGTCCCCCTCTTGTATTCCAAGCAATTGCGTAGATTCCCTTATCATAATTGCCAAGGGTTCAATAGCGATATTGAATAGGATTGGACTCAATGGGCAGCCCTGTCTTGCTCCACGAGCAAGAGGAAAAAAAACTAGACATAACCTTATTTGTTCTAATTGATGCCTGAGGTGTTGCATACAGCATATGGATCCAAGAACAAAAAATAGGGCCAAATCCCATTCTTTTAAGTGTGGTGAATAGAAAATTGTATTCCACTCTATCGAACGCTTTTTGTGCATCAAGGGATATCACTACCTCAGGCACAATATCACTGCGTTGATAGATGACATTAAACACCCGCCGAAGATTGCTAGATATTTGCCTCCCCACAAACAAACCCCCGTCTGGTCTGGGTGTACCAATTTTGGAAGGACAGTTTCAAGTCGCCCTGCCAGCGCCTTTGCTAGAATCTTATAGTCGCAGTTGAGAAGGCTAATGGGACGATATGATTCGCAAAGGAGCGGGTCTTTGGATTTTTTCAGCAACAGTGAAATTGTAGCTTGGGTCATTGTCGTGGGCAGAACTTTGTTGTCCAGGGACTCCCTGAAAACTTTTAACAGCAACGGGGCCAATTTGGAGGCAAATGTTTTGAAAAAATTCTATTGGATACCCATCTGGGCCAGGTGCTTTACCAGATTTCATCTTCCTAATGGCATTGTCTATTTCAGACAGAGACAAATCCGACTCCAACTTAGTTTTATCTGAGTCCTCTAAAGTGAGCAGAGTCAGGTCACTGAAGAAGTTCTCCACTTGGACCAAGTCACTGGCTTCAGAGCTGTACAATTTCTCGTAAAAATAATTTGAATTCCATATTAATGTCCTTCTGATCTATAAGTACATGTCCATGCCCATCCTTAATTGCAACAATAGAGCCAGCAGTTGTTGATTGTTTCAGCTGATGTGACAGCAGTTTGTTAGCCCGGTCACCATGTTCAAAATATGTTTGGCGGGACCTAAGGTGAAGGTCTATGGCCTTAGTATTGGTGACTTCATTGAATTCGGTTTGGAGCAAGATTCTCTCCTTGTACAATTCGTCAGAGGGTGACGCTGAGTGTTGCTGATCTATTTCCTTGATTCGATCAATTATCTCTGAGGCTCGTTTTGTTTGTTTCAGATTTTCCCCTGCAACAAAGGAAATCACCTGCCCTCTCAAATAGGCTTTTAGAGTTTCCCAGAGTGTGGAACAGCTTATCTCAGGGGATTCATTGAGCTCTATAAAAAAATCTATTTGTGTATTAATAAATTCGACAAACTTTTGATCAGACAATAATCTGGAGTTTAACCTCCAGGATATGGGCGAGGCCACATTCTCTGGAAAGCTCAATTTTAAGACCACTGGTGCGTGATCAGATATTACGATGCTGTCGTATTCTGTGTGGGTAACTAAGGGTAATAATTTTTGATCTATTAAAAAGTAGTCAATTCTTGAATAATTTTGGTGTACGGGGGAAAAGAAAGAAAACTGTTTGGATGTCGGGTGCTTAAATCTCCATGGGTCCATCACACCGTAAGCTTCAAGAAACTCACTAATGCATCGGGCTGATTTGTTTTGCGTCATAACTTTAGGGCTAGAACGGTCCAGGGCTGGATTCAGGGTGCAGTTCAGGTCCCCAGCCAATATTAGCTCATGAGAGTCAAGGTCTGGTAAAAGGGAGAAGAGATTTGTGAAGAAATTGGCATTGTCCCAATTAGGGGCATAGACATTGGCCAAAATAACAGGCCTATTATATAGTTTGCCTTGAGTGATGACATAACGGCCATTTTTGTCCCTTAGGGTTTTAGTCTCGACATATTGCACATCCCTGTGTATTAAAATAGCCACTCCTCTACTCTTACTATTAAAATTTGAGTGGAAACATTGTGTGAACCCCCTTCTGAGGAGTCTTGTATAGTCTTTGTTAAGCAAATTTGTCTCTTGTATATAAGCAATGCGACAATGCAGTTTACTTAAATGTGAAAAAAATTTTGTTACGTTTGATAGGGTGGTTGAGCCCACGAACATTCCAGCTGACCAATGTAGTAGGGGTTAGAGCCTTATGGGTAGATAGCATTACAAGGATTTAATGTTGAAGTATTGAGAGTAGTTGGAGTAGGGGGGAAAAAACAAAAAAACAAAAAAGCCTGCTCTCCAGTAACACAACATTGGGGGAAAACAACACCCCAGAAAGGTACAATGATGAACAACTATACTATAAAAATAGAAATAAATCAAAAATAGTCCCATGAAGAGACCATCCAACTTCTGGTTTCCAAAGTCCACATCATCACACTCCATTTAGGATGCTTACCATGTCTCCCACACAGGGACCTATGCAGTTTTTTTGTTTAAAAAAATAAAATAATAATAATAATTGTACAATTTTAGCAACAAGCTTCGCTTAGTCCTTTGACTACTTACATAACATATTGCTATGGGGAGTAGAGGTAGCGTTGTTTATAAGTCTGGAAGGCACGTAAATAGACAATGAAATATTACCTTGCCAGACCGTGTCACCTGGTTATCCCTGGGAAATCTTAGCTGCTGTAACAGTAACTTCGTCAGTCATGCTTTCTTTATTTCCTTCAGAACAAACTCCTTTGCAGTTTTGGGATCTTTGAACCTGCTTTCACGTCCGTCCGCAGTCGTGATCCTCAGCGTGGCCGGGTACCTCAATCCGTAGCGGACCCCCTCGCAGCCGCGAAGCAGATTCCTCACCTCCGTAAACGCCGCGCGCTGTTTGCTCACGGCCTGAGTGAAGTCGGACAGGACACGGATGCGGTCTCCATCAGTGGTCGTTATTATCCCAGCTGCAGCAGCCTTCTTCAGAAGCATTTCTTTTTCAGTGAAATAGTGACATTTTACTACAAATGCTCGTGGCGGTAGGTCCTCTTGTGTCGGTCTAGTACGGGTTGTTCTGTGTGCTATGTCCAGACACGGCAATTTGTCCAAACCAAGTGCTTCTTTCAGCATGTTTGCTACAAACTGGGAAGGATGTTTACCATGTTCTCGTCCCTCTTTCACACCTGTGACGCGGATATTACAGCGACGTGATCGTGCCTCTAAGTCCTCGCATCGGGCTTTCAGTGAGTCAAGATCCTTTTTCATACTGGACACATCCGACTCCAAAGCAGAGATAATGACCGAGTGTTCGCTGACTCCAGCTTCTACATCAGTCGTGCGGCTTTCAATAGCATCCAGCCTCCTGTTGATTTTCCCAACGGCGTTGCGTAATTCCGCTTGTGTCTCAGTTGCCTTCTCATCTATTTTGGCAAACAACTCTTGTTTAAGCGTAGTGATTGCGTTGAGAATTTGTCGGTCACCGGTGTAGCCACGGGCTGCTGCGTCCTCGTCCAGGCAGGTTGGGTCAGGTATGCTAGCGTTAGCTTCCGCGCGAGGCTCAGCTCCCGCATCCAATTGTTCCGTTTTATTTGCTTGTTTTTTGGGCATGTTGATCGCAACCCGATATTACAGCAACCTTAAGTTAGCAGGCAAAGCTTCGTTGCACTATTTCCAAAGCGAAATGGTTATTAAGAGTGTGTCCCTGTGCGGAGCTCAACGAGACACAACTTTACATGGCGCTGCCTCAAATAAATGATGTAGGCTACTATACTAACTTTAATATTATGCAATAATTGTGTAATTACAAGTTAATAACGCAGTGTAATAACTGTGGGCTGGTAATCAGAAGACAAGGTGCAGCTGAGGGAGAGAGGAGGCAGAGACTGAAATACTTTGCTGGTACCATGTAGTAAAATAGACAAAAAAGACAATAAATGAATGAATGGCCATTGACCCTGTGTTTCTGTTGCACTGGTGATTTGTTTGTTTCTGGTTGATTGGACTGTTGTATTTGTTGGTCTGTTGTTCTTTAGTCTTGTTGTGTTAACTGTGTTCAAAGAGAATCCATTTTTGAACCAAAATGGTGGCTTGTGTTTTAGGTGGTTTTCACACACGTTAATGTGCTCTCTGGGCCAACCCCAGAGGTACTAGATTTAGTTCTGTTTACTTCACTTACCACTGACTTACCATCCTTAAAGGCTCACTAAACACCAAATTCACCTTTTTCACTGATAAACTGTAAATCTAAACGGGTCTTATATCATCTGTACTAAACATTCTCGGCCTTATTGTGACATTTTAGAGCAGGGGTGGGCAAACTTTCTGGCTCGCAGGCCACATAGGGTCCTAAAGTTTGACTGAAGGGCCGGACAGAAGACAGGACATAACGTGTTAAGAGCTCAGATTCATTACATTCTTATTCACATTTATCCAGGACTTCAGACGCTACACGTTTCATCACTGCTGTGAAAGATTCAGAACATGAAACTGTTGAGACCTGTTCCACTGCACAACACGAGTGAATGTTTATCATGAGTTCACCGTTTCCAAATATGACTGGAAACAGCTCAAAAACAAAGCTCACACCACAACCACAGACACACACCTGTGACTGCAGTAAAACCTGCCTCCGAAATGTTGTACACATTAACAATTACAACTCAGAGACCACAGGTTTCTTTGATTGGTTTTTACCAACTCAAACTGGAAGCAGTGCATCTTATATCTTAAGCACCAACTACTTCACTCATGGTCCGAATAACTCCTGTAAGAACACGTTCCCATAAAGCATTGCGGCCAACATAATACGCCGCACCTCAATGTATATATAGTGCGCCATCTACTGGGAAACGCTGGAAATGCATGACAAATAAAACATCAACAAGGTTTATTATTGTAATTTATTCCAGTTTGGCGGGCCGGATTAAAAAAAAGTATAGATACATTTATTAATATTAGAAGTAGGCAGATGTGTTGGTAGGACATTCAAAAACACTCTTAAAATATTTGCAAGGAAAAGTCTTTAAATCCCATTCCTTTAGTACAGTTCCTTTTCAAGGCATCTCCAAACAGTTTGCCTGAGCTGAGATGAGCCAATCCAGACAAATATTTCACCAGGAATGAAAGGTGAGACTCTCCAGCAGGAGCCAGGATTTAGTTGCACCATAGACTGAGATAATGTCAGTGCTGACTGAACAAGACAGAGGGACCCAGGCCATCCACACACGATGCCTGCGACACTTTACTCCTGGGCTCTGGGCCTTAAGCCTTTACAGAGCGTCCTTCATGTGCCTAGTCTCTGTCCGGCTGGAGTGGTCCTCACATCCCCGTCCTTGTGTCCATGGCCCTGTGCTCGGTGTCTGAGGTCAGGGGTGGGGGGAGTGAATACGCCAAGAAGCACCAATTTTATAGAGCTCTGCGCCCCGCACCATTACAGCAGCAGCAAAGAGGCTGTCATATTGGCAACAGGGGCTTGAATAGGCTCCATAACTAAAGGCCAAACAAAAAGAGGAGCACTTCATGGGCAACAGGAAAACAGAACAGCTCCCACACGTTCAACAGCAACACACGTGTGTGTGACTGTCTCATGCTTCTCTTTGTTGATTCTCTCTGGAGACACAGAAAACCTGTGTGTGTCCACAGACTCGGTGCGGTTGGTCTCGGGGTCCGGTCTGTGTTCAGGATCAGTGCAGATCTGGGACGGGTCCTGGACCGGGGTCTGTGACGGGGACTTGGACCAGCGGGGGGCAGAGGTGCTGTGCAGGGAGCTGGACTGTGGGGCTCCTTCTCTCCTCCAGGGGGCGCTCTCTCCTCTGGGGCAGACGTTCCACTGTGAGGGCCATGAGTCTGCTCTGATGGACTGTCCCCGCTCCAACTCAAGCACCTGCTCCTCTGGAGCCACTGTCAACCTCACCTGCTCAGGTAAAGGGGCGGGGCTTCACTGCTCAGGTAAAGGGGCGGGGCTTCACTCTGTCTCTTGTCTGTTCAGAGCCTCTCAGGCTGGTGGGAGGAGCCAGTCGTTGTGCTGGGACTGTGGAGGTGAAACACAGAGGAGAGTGGAGACGAGTGGTGGATTCCTCTCATCTCTGGGACCAGGAGGCCACAGATGCTGTGTGCAGACACCTGGACTGTGGCTCTGCTGTTTATGGAGAACAGGGAGATTTTCCAGAGAGTCGTGTGTGGGAGGTCACATCTGACTGTGTGAAAAAGTCTTCAGTGAGAGAATGTGTCTCTGGTTCATCCTCCTCCTCAGATGGTCTGCAGGTGAAGTGTTCAGGTAAAAGTCTGATCTTACATTTTTATGTCTCAGATGTTTTTTCTAGTTGCTCCAGAGGAGTGTAACACACACATACCAGGAGTCCAGTAGTGTTTCAGTGTGGAGAAGGTTTCAGCCGTACTCATCTGGACTCTGTTTTTGTGATGAAGATGTTTCAGCTCCAGACATTTTCATTTGATGGAGCTGTTAGAAACACTGGGAATTCATCCTCCTCTGAGTAACTAAGTCCAGCCCAGAGGAGGAGTTTCAGAGTGAACCTGCCTGGTTTCAGGACAGAATGATCCATAATGCTGTTGGCTGTAAACGAGGCAGGTTCACTCTGAAACTCCTCCTCTGGGCTGGACTTAGTTACTCAGAGGAGAACTAGTGCTTCTAACAGCTCCATCAAATGAAAATGTCTAGAGCTGAAACATCTTCATCACAAAAACAGAGTCCAGATGAGCACGACTGAAACCTTCTCCACACTGAAACAGGAGAAAAACTATATAAAGAGTTAAGGGACAAATCGGGCAATGGCAGTAACCACAGTAACAGGGTTTTGGGGGTTTGGATTTGGGGCTTGGGTTTGGGTCCTGGTCTGATCTGGGTTCTTTTGTGTTGCAGAGTCAGACTCAGACCTGATCATCAGAGTCGTGGTGATTCTTCTGTTGATGCTCCTGTTCACCCTCCCAATGTACTACTACTGCAAGGTACTGACCTGGTTTAGTCCTGTTGTAGACCTGGTTTAGTCCTGGTTTAGACCTGGTATAGACCTCATATAGACCTGGTTTAGACCTGGTTTAGATCAGTAAAGTGCATTTTAATCAAATAAAGTCCTGACACAATCATGAGTGTGAGCGTGAGTTTAGCGTCAGCTCAGAGTGAGCAGGACACTTGGCTCTGCGTCGGAGGAGCCGACTCCAGAGGAGACCTACAAAGACGTCTGTGGAGGAAGGATCCTGAGGACTGACAAACACACAGAGATTTGTGACCTGTGGATGTGCTGTGTCCTTTCAGGCCCGGGCCAGAAGGGGCGCTAGAGAGAGGACCTCAGACGACCTGGAGTTACACCGGGGCAGATCCATGTGAGACCCGGACTTAGACCGGGTCAGATCCATGTGAGACCTGGACTTAGACCGGGTCAGATCCATGTGAGACCCGATTTAGACTGGTTCAGATCCATGTGAGACCTGTGAGCTCCTGGATGTTTAATACATTTGTGTAAATACAGAATGACTTTAATCATTTTACATCTTCTGATATGTTTACTCACACCCTAGGGTCAGTCACATTGTGCGGTCAGTCATACTCTAGGGTCAGTCACACTCTAGGGTCAGTCACACCCTAGGGTCAGTCACATTGTGGGGTCAATCATACTCTAGGGTCAGTCACACCCTAGCGTCAGTCACATTGTGGGGTCAGTCACACTCTAGATTCAGTCACACTCTAGGGTCAGTCACACTCTAGGGTCAGTCACACTCTAGATTCAGTCACACTCTAGGGTCAGTCACACTCTAGGGTCAGTCACACTCTAGGGTCAGTCACATTGTGGGGTCAGTCACACTCTAGATTCAGTCACACCCTAGGGTCAGTCACACCCTAGGGTCAGACACACTCTAGGGTCAGTCACACTCTAGGATCAGTCACACCCTAGGGTCAGTCACATTGTGGGGTCAATCATACTCTAGATTCAGTCACACTCTAGGGTCAGTCACACTCTAGGGTCAGTCACACTCTAGGGTCAGTCACACTCTAGGGTCAGTCACACCCTAGGGTCAGTCACATTGTGGGGTCAATCATACTCTAGGGTCAGTCACACCCTAGCGTCAGTCACATTGTGGGGTCAGTCACACTCTAGATTCAGTCACACTCTAGGGTCAGTCACACTCTAGGGTCAGTCACATTGTGGGGTCAGTCACACTCTGGGGTCAGTCACACTCTAAGGTTTTAAATTTGTCCATGAATAATAATAACTCTTGTCTGTTATTTCATATAATTAAATGTGTAATAAATGTGTAATAAAGGTCTGT